GAATGATCATGGCAAAAGGTGCAGCTCCTGTTGAAGTTGGTCAGTGAAGTTGCCTCCACACTCCAGCCAATTAGCTGATGCTTTGTGAAGAAGCGCATGCATCCAGAACGTGAACAATGGCCTTGCAAAGGCTTGATCCGATAGTGATACGTGCTCAACCAGTAGTTTTGTAACGACTGACAAAATACACTAGTTCGAATAAGTATGAAAAAAATAAGATGCAAGAGTGATTTTATTGGAACTCCCATCTGTTGCCACGTGACGTGCAGAGAATGGCTCGTTGAACACAATCCCGAGCAAGCGACTTTCGTGGGAAAAACGTGGACTGCAACAAGATTTCACTAAACAGCGGCGGAGATACTTAAATTAATACGAGTGTGCATCCCCTTCTTCAACACACAACCAAAGGGCAATTCGTATGAAATACAAGCAGCGCCTCTACAGCGAAGGACTGCTGGGAATTCAATTGTAATATGTGTAAGCTGCTGTATAAAGTTCACTGGAAATGTATCTGGAGAAACTATATTAGTAGTTTTGCTTGCCATGAGGTTCCTCGAAGTCCTTAAGGGGTCATTCATTATTTTAAACATCAAACACGGGTGTATAAACCGCATGCTATGAGGAGGGGGAAAGTCTGGTTATGCAATTTTTTTAAGCATACCTTTTGAGAGACCTCTGGGGATTAATAATGTACTCTTTGTGGCGTGGGAGATGAGAAGGTATAATCTGTAGACTTATTTTAAATGTTGATATTGATTAATCCTTCACTCAACCACACTGCCAGACTTAAATATATAGACCGATTTTATAAATATTGTGCATAATGTACAACAACAATGCTGGCATTTAGAGTTAAGAAACCCACACAGAGAACATATTGTTCTGTGGACACAGAACATTCACTGACTTAGAAATTGAAATAAAAAATACAATTTAAGCTATAGGGAATATACCAACAAGCTCACATGTTGAGCTTAATGCACTAATTTGACTTGGTTTAGAAGGAAAAAAATGGACCATGTGTATAACAGTATAATTGTGGCAATCACTTAAATAGTTTTGAGTTTAGAAAAAATAAATAAAATGCATGACATTTGCACCGCCCAGAGCAGTATCCATATGAACAAAAAAAGAATGTGCATGTTAATTTAATTTTAATATCTTTCCTGTGATGTACCGTGTAGTTCTGTGTGATTTAAATGTTAATCTTTCCATATTCGCATTTAACAGTTGAAAATGCGTTTATTTGCAGGTTGCTTTTGTGTTATGGGTTAGGGAGACACTTCATCAGTTGTGGAAAACATGTAATTTTAAAATGAGATGCATACAATTTTACTAATTTATTTGGGATGTTACAGGGGGCGGTGGGGGGGGCACAATGTTAGCTATAATCGTCACCCTAACATAAAGCTAGTGTATTCAGTCCTCTCTTTAAGTTAGCATATTAGGGCCAATGCAGGTTTTACACTTCTATCGTGTGTCCATCAAACTTTAGCAATATACAAAGGTAATGGCTGTCTCCACACTCAATTGGTAAATCACGTGCCCATCAATACATTTTTATTGCTGTGACAATAATTCCTCATTTCCACGACGTGTGAAAACGTGCCATATCCTGGCTGAGTTGGTGATATGTCTGATGTATTTTTCCCATGACTTTAAAAGTGGGACCTGTGCTATCATAAACGTGTTCTTACAAGTGGAAGCACCCTTGCATTACACTTTCTTTAGAACAAATACTTTGTTAAGAACAGCGTTTTTTTTTACTTTTTGTTATCCACTTAATAACATGGTTGCCCTGATCGCTATGAAGTCACGTTCCCTTGAGCCACATTCATCGATTTTCAATTTGAGTTGCCAACCTGGCAGGGCATTTCCCATATTTTGTTTTTGTCAAACTCGACTTGGCCACGAATTTTTGGTGCAGCCTGAATTCTCTGATCAAATGTAGCCAGAATTCCCCAAATTACAACAATAAATGTCGGTAGCAGGAAGACTTAATTTTATTCTAATATTTAACATTTTCATCAGCAATGCAGTCTTGACCTTTTACTCGAAGTATTTCTGAGTGAGTCTTACTGTGAAGTATTTCTGCAAAAGACCTGTCCATCTCATTTTGAAAAAATATGGCAACTACGTTTTTTTTTTACCAACTAAAGATGTCCTTCCACTCGAATTTGGGAGACATTAGGTTATATCAGGCCAGCTCGAGTTGACACAAGTTGTATGTCCCATGGAAACTAATTAAGTTTCGTTCTCAGTGAAGTTGCGACTATCCAAGCACGGGTCAGTCATTTGGTACACAAGAGGTAGGAAAATAGAGGGTGTGTGAATGTGAAGAATTCATAAGGTGGGAAGGCACGAGCACATGCAGAGGGCATGGATATGAGGTTGAGCACGGCTTGGGCCTGAGACTGGCCCTATCCTGCTGCGGGTCGTGGAATTGTAGGCTCACATGCTAAAGAAGTCTGACTGCATTCTGTTAGCCGAGTAGCCACGGTGACGTGTGTTGTAGTTGCGGCATGTACGTCGTTTGCTTTTGTGGAAAATGCTTCCCCTTGGTCGTAAAAAAAAACAATTGTTCTGTGCCGCTTTTAGTTAATGTGCATTCAGATTATCAAAGGGTGTATAAGACGTGAGGGACCTACATTTATCGGCCTGTTTTAATTTCCTGTGGAGTTGCATTCTGAATAAAAGTAATCCTGGATTCGAGGCTTTCGTGACTGAAGGAATTACTCTTTAGCAATCTTTGGAAGAACGTAATCAACCAGGTGGGGTGTTGACTTGTGTTGGCCGACTCTCTGGTTGTATTGCATTGTATTTCTGAGGTTTGTTCTCATTCATTCGTACCTGATGATGGTTGCTTGTGTTGCAATCAAAACGTCGTATTCTATTATTTAATTTATTTTCTTTCTACGTGACTTTACTGAAAGTACCAAAGAGTAAAAGTAATCCTGTTTTCCACAGAAAATGTGATCTTTCCACATTTCATTCCTCATTTGTGGAGTTAACATGAGGCATTGAAGCCCGATGAATCCTAATTCTTCATTACCTATTACAACCCCGCTTGCTGTACTGGTGTCCATTGCTATCTCATTGTTGCATGGGTGGGTGTTACACCTAACTATACACGGTCCGTCAACCTCTCCCTACTTCATTAGATTATAGCACATACGTACACAGGAATAAAGAAGCAAGTGTTAGGTAAGTATATGCTGTTATTGTCGATACTTTTAATATTCAGGTTTAAAGTGGCTTTGTATTTTCATTAACCAAACAGTGTAATAATGTGGTCTACATATGTAGTGACGCCTTTACACACTTCTCTTGAGATGGCACTTCATTGAAGACACGTTCACTTGACATCAAGCGGAGATCCCACTGCAACAGCCCCGAGTCTCCCGCACATCTCCCTTATATATCAACACGAGGCCACGCCCCCCTTCTCGATCATTCTCGCTGACTCTGGACGCTCGCTCTACCGGCAGACTGTACTGTCCTCTTCCATCACCTGACCACACTCCCTTCTCGAACATTCCCGTACCACCAGTCCCTTCGCACTCACAACTGATACCCATGTCATTACCTCCTGTGGCCACTAGTGCACTCGTACTGTAGGCTGACTTCCCTGTCATTACCTCCCGTGGCCACTAGTCCCCTTACACCGCATGCAGGATCGATTGTCATTACATATACAGTAAAGTACTGTTGCCCATTAAATTGGCTCGTGACGGGGCCCGTTCACACATTAATAACAGAAATATTATCTCTGCGATGATGGGGTATTTTTTTCTCTCAAAGCATTGGTCACAATATTGGTTGTAGGCTGTAAGATATTGGTCTCAAAATGCTGATTAAGATTGCCACTATTTGCAAAGGAAAATGGCTGTGGAGGTTCTATACCATGCATGTGTAACATCGTCACTAATGCCCTGAATATAAGCACGTTTACAAAAATCATCATGTAGCAAACAATAAAAAAAATCTCCATAATACAGGTTTTTGGGTAAGATCGTGGAAATAAATAAATGTGTCGTTAAATCCGCCACCACCCGACACAGCCAATTAATAAGGTTAAATATAACATGCCAATTCGTTAGTAGTACAGCACACCGGTGTGTTGGAGAGCCAAGCCACAACATTTACACTCTGAGTACGACGTTTCGCCAGTAATTACAACTAGCCTTATCAGGCGACATCTAGATTTGTGGAGAAGTCCACCTGTTTCGTTTCTTAAATAGAGGCGTAGATATGATGACAACACTTGTACACTCTTCTTGCGCGCAGTGGGGGTGTGTGGGGGGGGGGTTAATAAACGAACGTACATTATGCACGCGCATTATGCGAGCCCCATTCATCTTGTACTTCCTGTCCATTGTACTAAAATAGCCTTCACCGTAGTAATTCCTATTGAAGTATGGTGGCCTGTATAGACATGCATTTAAAAAAAAATGATTTTAAGCATTTTTTCTGAATAGCCAAATCTTGCTATAAAATATAATTACAGGCAAGATGCACACATGTACAGTGATTGCACAGCTTATGTTTGGTAACCAATGTTAGGGCGAATCTGTGTGTATATAGCACAAGTGCGCTGTGCAACGTGCATTCCTCGTGTTCAACCAGGACCGTAGCAAAGAAGGCGAAAGGGCTATATAATGGATCTAGTTGGCCTGTGGCCATATCTGCGCATAACCATTTTGCTACTTGCTGCACTTGTTTGATTATATGCTCAATATTCGCCATAGTGGCCAGATGTTAACCACCTCGCATGGCATACAGGAGTGCGTGGGTTTGATCCCGACCCTGATAGCTGTATGAGGTTTGCATGTTTCTCTCCCCATTGCGGCGTGGATTTTTCTCGGGTTTTCCCCTCCACATTTAGAAACAAGCGTGGAGGGTATTTGGCTGCGATAAATGTCCACATGATAACCCACTTCTACGAGCTGCCATTTGTGGCCAGGTCGCTTCTGCAAAATAGCCATATAGCTGAGTGGGCCTTATTTGGTCAAATAAAAACAGTTTAGTTGATAGTTTTTAAATGCAGATTTTGGGTTTTCCCTCCTCACAAACTACCTTTAGGTCCCACCCCTTTACTCTTGAGGCCCGCAGCCCTTCTATGAATGCCCGCCCACTTTTTTTAGACCCCACCCCTTAGTGAAAATGTTTGGGACATCGTCACGCGCACACTCGTCGCCTGGTGGCGCTGCTTTTGCTCTTCTGCCAGATGCGTCCGTTCGAGCATATAGCCTGACAAGTCTGCAGCTGCGCCGAGAGCGAACGAAAGCCAGCGTCTCTTTCACAGCGCTCTTCGCCTCTTTGTAAGTGTTCTTCAAATTTTTAAACATTTTCGCCTTTCGCTACGTCTGAGAAGAGGAAATGTGCCGCACGTGCATAAAATTACTTTAGCATTTTCAAATGTAAGCGTTTGTTTATGCTTAATACATTTCTCTTAAAGTTATGGTAACTTAGGGTTATTTTCATTTATTTTCGTGGTCAATTTTGGTATTTTTATATGGTATGTAATGGGTTTCCAGGAACGGAATCCCAATGTATAACATTGCGCCTATGGGAATTGAGGGTTCGACTTACGACGCCTCGACTTACGACCGTCGTCCAGGAACCAATTAGGTCGTAAATGCGGAGAGTCGCCTGTAAGAACATTTTTATAAAAAGGCAAGTAGAGCAGAGGTGGATCGCACTGAAAGTCAACCACAACCTCGTCTGCAACGTTTTATATCCAGCAATTTTAAAGTTGCAGGCACTGCCACCGCGTCCAAGACGTATGGCCAGTTTAGAATATTAGGCCAAAATAGCGCAAAATAATGACCATGGCACGAATTGTTTGTGCATTGTTGTGGATCATTATGGATACAAAATAGAACACTTCTGAGCTTCGCCATATAAAATGTATATTTTACTCCACCGGCCTATTGGCATTCCAGTTTCAACGTTCTACATCTCATCGGCAGCCAGGCGTGTTAAACAAATGTTGTTAGGTTTGTCAGCAGTTATTGGCAAGAGCACTCCATCTACGCTACGCGCCCCTGGTCAAGGCTAACCGCAATATAGGATACAAACTATGCGTTGTTGTGGAGTATTTGGATACAATACGTCAGCAGAAACTGCTTCTGTGTTTCTCTTACGGTTTGTCTCATCATTTACATATTCGATTGAAATACATACTTCCACAAGTTTAGTCTAACCCCCCCGCCATCGTGGCTGAATATCAGAATGGACTACGTCATCCATACATGAGGTAAGCGCAGTGGACTGTTTTATCGTCTCCACCGGCCTGTGGTAGGGGGGGGGGGTAACGTAATGGATTGCGCCATCATCGACTGTGGGGTGTCGTATGAGAGTATACGCCACAGCACCCGCCCCCACATCAGGGGACGCAGTTGGACTGCGCCATCTCCCGCCTTTCTCTCCCGCCTTTCTCTCCCGCGCTTGGCTTTGGAGGAAACCCGGAGCTTGACCGCTTTCTCTTCGCCGGCTGAGTTTCTTCGACATCCACTCATGGCCTTCGAAGGCCAGGGGGCACAGCCGTCAACCCCCGATGATCTCTTCAAGGACGTCAAATTCTATGTGGTGGGCGACGTCGACAAGAAGGTGCGAGCCCCGCGCGAGGCCTGCGCGGCCAGAGAGCCGCCGCTCTCGGATAGAAGCCCATGCCGCCAAGTGGGTCTCAGCCGCGCGCCGTAGCGCGGGAAAGGCTGCACGGGGTCGCGGAGTCCCGGGGTGATTGACGTCGGCGTTGAGGGACGCGGAGAGGGACCGAAGCGACTTATGGAGGGTTATGGAGAGAGAGAGATGAAGAGACAGAGACCCGGAGAGAACAGAGACACGTAGAGAAGCAAAGCGACGATGAGACATTGAAAGGGAAGGAGACGGGGTACACGGAGAGAGACAGGCAAAAACTAGATGTGAAGAAAGACGACAGATACACAGTGCTGCCACGGAGACACGGGTAAAGCCGTAGAGGAGGGCACAGAAATAGATACGTGCACGGAGAGGCACAGGCCGACCAACACGGAACACATCCCTCTTAGCCATCTCCGTCTTCTCTCCCTTCTCCCCACTCTTGTCTCGGCCGCATTTAATTTGCGTGCCACTTGGAATTGAGCTGATTGTTGAGACTGGAGTAAAGTGTGAACCAACCGCATCGCCGCCACTCGCGCGAACACGTACATGCACATCGGCACGTAAAAGTACGTCAGGGGACTCTACCTGGCTCTAAAGTTTGTTTATGTGTAGTGAATAACGGTGGGTCGCCTTAGCATGGCCATACCCACAGGGCCCATAATGAAAATGTTTCGTAAGAGGTTAACAGTGGGCGTATATTGTATAAAGAGAATAACCCCCCTGAAATGAGAATGTGTAATTTCCACCACTGGCACAGTTGGCCGTCAGTATAGAAAAGTGCCATCCCAATGCTCAAATTGAGCAGGGAAACAGACTTTTGTCTTCAATATACAACCTTCGCGACAACATGATGCAATAGCTGGTCATTTGAAAGATTAGCACGGTTGGCTACATACGGTACGAAGGAAGTTCAACATACATTTGATGGCGTTAATCGTAAATGATCTGATTCGCATTCAGGAATTGATTAAGCCCATAATTTATCTTGCATTGATAAAGTTTGTACTGCTTTGTGGGAAGTGAACAGTTCCCAGCCTTCTGATAGACTGACTCCCGATTTGGAAATGTCCAGTACCCACAACTGGTTCAGGGCTACCAATGTTGGAGAGCACCGCTACATTGCTGGTTTGGATGTGACTGATGATACCTCAATGTGCACTGCTTGTGCTGCAGGTGGTGGAGCTTCTAAAGAACAACAAGGGGAAGGAGGCGTCCTGTTTCTCGCTAGCATCGCACGTCATATCGGAGGATGGCGAGCATGCGGAAGTGAGCGAGGCCCGTGAGGTGTTTGATCTACCCGTGGTGAAGGTAGGTTAATGATATTCATGCTCTACAACAGGGGTGGGGAACTTTTTTTCTGCCAAGGGCCATTTGGATATTTATAACATCATTTGCGGGCCATACAACATTATCAACTTAAAAATTAGCCTGTTATATTTGGTCAAACATTTAACTAACTCGCCCATAATGTGATGGCTGGAACTGCTTCTCTTTGGTGAGGCGTGTGATGTTAGCTGGTATTGATGATGTTGCTACTCGCAACTGCTTTTCCAGGTTTGCTCCTAGATTTATTGAATTTCAAGTCCACCTGTGGTTGCCTTGGCAGGGCCAGACTAAATGATTTTGCGGGCCTTATACGGCCCGCGGGCTGGACGTTCCCCACCCCTGCTCTACAAGGTCACGGTCCAATACATGCTTATAATTTGACTTTACATTCTTTGTGTATGTCAAAGGAAGGGACAACCAGACAGATAAGTAACACAAACTATTTCAGAGAGATAAAAACGTGTACCTCATAAAAGGTAAACCCCCTCCAGGCCAGTAGAATAAACCTCAATAATTTGAATCGATGTTAAGGAGATCGTAGATGAATTGGTAAGACATAAACTAACAGTTCTGCCCACCATGTTTACCGTATTTGGATATTTTCGTATATTTTTACAAAGCACAACATTAAATAAAAACGCCTATAGAAATTGCATAAATGGACTTATTGTTTTTACTTATTGGAGACGAATTGGCAATATCCCTTTGATAATACAGCGGGTTGAAATTACATCTGTAAAAAAAAGTTTTTTTTACACAACCATCACAACATGATAGTATGTTCAAAGCATTTGTGGTTGTTCATTGGCTAATAAATTACTGGGATATTGTGGGAAGTCGCAAGTGGTTAGTCTGTTGAGAGATTGACCACTGTCATATGAGTGGATAATTCCTTCAGCTGCCTCAGCACCATGGATGAAAATTAGCAGTGCCTCACACGTGTTGGGAGTTTGGAGACCCGTAGAGTAAAAAATTAGGGTTTAGGTGGACCGAGGCGTCTTATAATTAATCCATTTTAGCAAACATTTCAGCCAATCGATACATCATGGAAAACACTTAAAATTATGTCATAAAGAAATGAAAGGTAGTGGAGACAATTTAATAAGAGCAAAAAAAAACAGGTGGGGCTAAAGGTTATATTATTTGAAGCACTTAAATTGAACCACATCTCAAAATTCTGTACTGAAAGAGCCACCTAATTGTCACTATATTTTTAAGAGGGATATTTGAAGGGAAGTGAGGGGTGAAATGCTACAGGGAGAGAAAGCAAAGAGATGACCATCATGTTTAAGAGTTTATATATATTTTTCAGTTTCCACTCAGACAATTCTGCTCTTTCTCATTAAAATATTGCGCACAAGTGTAATTCATATTCATGTTGCGATTTCACTCGTTAAATTGTACATGTATTAGTAATGGTACATTGGACATATTTCAGATAGACTAGGCATGTGTGCAAAATAATATGCACTTATTACTTGTGTATTGGGTAGACCCTTGTTAGAAATGGTATATCTGGTGTTTGGTGTATCGTATGTTTAATATCTCACTTGGTATACAGGAGGGTGTGGGTTCAATCCCAACCAAGACACCTGTATATTCGAAGTTGCATGTTCTCCCCGTGGTCGTGTGGATTTTTCTCCGGGTCTTCCGGTTTTTCCCTCCACATTTAGAATCGACATGCGTTTAGAGTATTTGGTTGCTAGAAATTTCCAGATGATAAGCCGACACTTCAAGCAATAATTTTTGGCCAGGTACATTATAAAAAAAGAGCTCTATATCTCAGTGGGCCTTACCTGGTAAATAAAAAAATAGTTTAATCGTTTTTTTTTTACTTACCATTGTTTCATTGTACAACATATTTGATGTGAATATGCTTGAAAACATTGCACTGTCCATATCTAAACATGATTATAAAGTTAGAATGATTTTTTTTTCATCATTTAAATCTGTTTTAATGCACTGTGGCTTTTTTTCTCCATTCAGCCATCATGGGTGATGCTGTCTCTGAGATGTGGAGTCCTGCTGCCGTATCCTTTAACAAAAGAACATTGAGTTGCGTGCATCACAAGCCATCAGATATTGTACATGCAGAATTAACATGTCAGCACAAAAGTCACATTTGAAAATCAAAAGAAGTATTTTGGTAATTGGTTTTCGAAAATTTCAAATTTGTTCGCATTTTATATGACCACTTCCTACGGATGATGGTCTGACCGGGAAATGCTGTGCCAGGATGTGTCCACACATCAGGAAGCTTGAAAGCTCATATCCTGTTCGGGATCAACTTAGCCCATAATATGGAAACGATACAATGAGTGCCATTTTGCCAGCCATCCAACAGTGGTCTTACAGACTTGTTCTATCTCCCTGCAGAGGAATGTCATATTTCCACCACAGGCTCAGGACCACTAACGCACGTTAACTGCACAATACTCGGTTGAGTTTCGGGACACTTTAAATTATCTGCATATTGCGGTATGAACGCATATTGATATCATACTGCATGTATACTGAAATATATTTTGAAAATATTATTTCCTTTAATGTTATAATATAGTTTTTATTATTATTTGGCCAAACTTCCTTAAAGTAGTAACTTGTGTCAGTTAATATGAAAGGCTAATTGATAGGTCTTCTTATGTACATGTTTTGAGGTTTTTTGACACATGTACATATAAATCAACTATATAAAATACAGCGTCATAAAATTGTTAGTTTTTTGCTATATTTGCTATATTTTAGAAAATACCTTTTCCCCAAATATTATTTTTACGAGCAGTTTGAACATAAAAATGTATCCAGGCCTTTTAGTACCAACAGGGTAATGTAATCCAACATGTTGAACACGAGATTGGAGTTTTCATTTTTAAAACTTTTACCTGCAGGCCTATGAGGTGGTCAGTAGAGGGCAGTACATCAGCTTTGTTATTCATGTATATGTGTTGAACTTTCGCACTGTAAATAACGAACTCCGCTCATAAGAGGTGTGGGGGAGGGATATATCCTCATGAGTGCATTGGTTTATTTACATTGATTAAACATCGCAATGAGCCGTGAGACGCAGAAAATCCTTAGTCTTCAGACTCTGAGAATCCTTTTTGGATATATTGAGGACCACATCAAATATGAATAATTCCTCGTGTTATGTAAAAAATCAACATTCATCCTTGTAGATACGTTTGTTTTAACCAAAAATATTTGGTTGCTTTATAATAATTAGTAGTTTATGCCGAAGCAGTGTTTTTTTATCAGGTGGGTGGTTTTCTCCGAGACTAGTGCCTTGCAAAAAGCACACAGCCATTTAAATTTAGACAGCCGACAGAGATTAAATTAGGTTCACAAGTGTATCACATTGAACATTGATATATGTGTATGTTGAACTTCTTACGTAGCCAGCCGTGCTAAAATCCAAATTGCACTGTATTGACACTGGTTCATTGTAAGAGATTTTTATTTTTCATTTCAAGACAAATGTCACAATTGGAATATAATTGGTCGAACGTTAAAACAAAATAATTTCATCCATACTCTTCGCTTAGTTTCCCATACCTCCAAGTAGCATGGTTGGCTACATACGGTGCGAAATAAGTTCAACATACCTACATACATTCTTCCTCTGGAGATTAGTGAATGTGGAATGCTTTTAAGTTGTTGAAAATCAGCACTGTACACATTGCATGGTGGTGGTGTTCCTGTGTGTTTCTGTTATTTTCTGTGACGGACCTTCATCGCCAGTGTAACGGGATTCTCTCCAGACACGGGTCAACCATTCTTGGGAGTCACAGCATGTTTATCACAGGTAAGATCACTTGGTGTGAATTGTACTGCAGTTCTGTTGCACTAAAGCCACGATTTCTGCGATTGTGTCTGCAGAGTATGTGATGTTTTTGTTGTATCTGCTTTATCACTGGCAAATCTTCCAAAATGTTTTTTTGGGGGAATTCCTTTATTTTGTTATGGATCAGAATTCGGGCTAGTATATTTGGTGTTGCATCTAAATCAGTGACTGTGGTGTTATGCTTGGAGCACTTGACTCGTAATCTTGAGTTCAAATTCCAGTCTGGAGTTGGCTCAGCCTATTATCTACCTGGGGCCAAGAGAACAATTCCTGCTTTGAGGGTTGTCAACAGTGGCCATCCTATGGGAACGTGGAATTTCCACCACTGGTTCAGGGCCAACAATGGAGATGAGTGCAACTCCATTGTAGATATGATCAGGGAGATGGAGTAGACGTTATGTTGGAAAACAGTGAATGCATTGGCAGTCTTGTAGAAGCACAGGCTGAACATATTGAACTAACATCATTAATAAACATTAGCTTACGTGAAAATGTTTTATGAGCCAACTATCACGAAGTACCCGGCGTTGCCCGGGGGAAAAATATATTTCAAAACTTCTCTTAAAAACATAACATATACATACACAAATACTAAGCTATTGTGAAAGCCCGGCATGCCGTTTGTCTGTCAACAAAATTATAAGAGACAAATAGTTCACTACTTCAGCCCACCGGTGTGTTTGAAGAGTGAATCCACGACATTTAAAATTTTTGAGTACGACGTTTTGCTGGTAATTATATCCAGCATCATCGGGCGATTTGCCAGAATAGTGAAGCCCTCCATCTGCTCCCGGTCTTAAATGGAGCAGCAGGGTGACGTCCTCATTTTACCCAATCAGGTGCAGAGAACAGAGGCGGAGGGGGGGGGGGTATTGTAATTATATAATAGATTAGTAATCAGTTGCTTGTTATGATTAGTAATCGGTTGTAATGTTTCGATTTAAAGCTTTCGTGACTGCAAGGATTCATCTTCTTTGGTTCTTTCGGTAAAGTCACGTAGAATGAGAATAAAATAATAAATTGATCAAATAAATAACACAATAATATTCTCACGACGTTTCGGCCACAACACAAGCGGCCTTCATCAGGTGAAGGGACGAGACTGTCTGGTAGGACAGCGCTGGAGTGAAAAAGCCACGCTCAGATCACGACCTTTAAGCTGTGTGAGAAGAAACAAAGCGCCTTGACAAAGGAATTAGCATATAATTTAGCATTGAAATGGCTGAGTGATTAGCTTGTGACTGGTCACAGAAATGGCTATGTTAAAAGTTAAAGCATACACATCCGCAGAGGCACCCCTTGACAAAGGAATTAGCATAGAATTTAGCATTGAAATAGCTAAGTTAAAGCATACACATCCGCAGAGGCACCCCTTGACAAAGGAATTAGCATAGAATTTAGCATTGAAATAGCTGAGTGATTAGCTTGTAACTGGTCACAGAAATAGCTATGTTAAAGTCAGAGCATACACATTCACCGAGGCACCTAGTACAAATCAAACAGGAGAATTTAGCATTGAAATAACTAGGCGAATTTAGCATTGAAATAACTGAGTGATTAGCTAGTGACTGGTCATAGAAATGGCTATGTTGAAGTCAAGGCCTACACATCTGAGCTATTCACAGTAACTGGGTATACAATACAATACATAATGAATACTATATAGTGAACCAATAAAAAACAAATATAAATTACCTTATTGTTATCAATAAACTCTATATTCTCCAATCAGCTAAGCTACCAACAATAAGTCGTTATATATCACAATGCTATATGGCGAAAAAATGGGTGGATTCTTACCCTCAACTTTAGCAACACGGATAGCTACGGGCCCCGTTCAGACGGACGAGTTCATCCATGGTCGGAACAGAGGAGGGGGAGAGAGACAGCTGCGATGCGCTATTATACTCCATGTTGTAAACCACGGTAGAACGAACTCCTCTGTCGTGGCAGATCACTGTTATAATTCAGTGGGCTCACATGACATTGACTTCTCCAAGACGGAGGTTCTTTGCAAACCAACCGGCTACCATGAGAGATTCGTTCATGAGGCCATTCACATATACAAGCACAGAGACAATTTCAACCGAAAAGATGGATTCTGGCTTAGTAACCATTGGAAAGATGTTTTAAACCATTTCTGTTCTTAATTAATTATATTTTACGATGACCTTCAGACCGCAGCTCTTTCGCCAGCATTGACTCTTAATACCTCTCACACCACGGTTAATGGTATGGTTTACAACATGGAGTATAATAGCGCCTCGCAGCTGTCTCTCTCCCCCTTCTCTGTTCCGACCATGGATGAACTCGTCCGTCTGAACGGGGCCCGTAGCTATCCGTGTTGCTAAAGTTGAGGGTAAGAATCACCCATTTTTTTGCCATATAGCATTGTGATATATAACGACTTATTGTTGGTAGCTTAGCTGTTTGGAGAATATAGAGTTTATTGATAACATTAAGGTCATTTATATTTTAGTTTTTTATTGATTCACTATATAGTATTCATTATATATTGTATTGTATACCCAGTTACTGTGAATAGCTCAGATGTGTAGGCCTTGACTTCAACATAGCCATTTCTGTGACCAGTCACTAGCTAATCACTCAGTTATTTCAATGCTAAATTCGCCTAGTTATTTCAATGCTAAAATCTCCTGTTTGATTTGTACTAGGTGCCTCGGTGAATGTGTATGCTCTGACTTTAACATAGCTATTTCTGTGACCAGTTACAAGCTAATCACTCAGCTATTTCAATGCTAAATTCTATGCTAATTCCTTTGTTGAGGGGTGCCTCTGCGGATGTGTATGCTTTAACTTAGCTATTTCAATGCTAAATTCTGTGCTAATTCCTTTGTCAAGGGGTGCCTCTGCGGATGTGTATGCTTTATCTTTAACATAGCCATTTCTGTGACCAGTCACAAGCTAATCACTCAGCCATTTCAATGCCAAATTATATGCTAATTCCTTTGTCAAGGCGCTTTGTTTCTTCTCACACAGCTTAAAGGTCGTGATCTGAGCATGGCTTTTTCACTCCAGCGCTGTCCTACCAGACAGTCTCGTCCCTTCACCTGATGAAGGCCGCTTGTGTTGTGGCCGAAACGTCGTGAGAATATTATTGTGTGATTTTATTTTATCAATTTATTATTTTATTCTCATTCTACGTGACTTTACCGAAAGAACCAAAAACAGTTGTAATGTGTATTATTTAATAAATGAACCACCCAAATACTATACCCAATCAGGTGCAGAAATCAGAGGTGGCGGAGGGGGGGTTATTGTAATTATATACTACATTAGTAATCAGTTAATTAGTATGTGTTTCCCCTATAAGGAATTGTAATATGTATTATTTAATAATATGCTTCCAGGCCGCACGAAGCCTGTAGCTGTCAGAGCGATTAAAGTTATTTGTATTTCTCTCAATTTCAATGGATTCTCTAATGAGTCTTGGCCAGTAATAATTCGTTTTACACAACACTTCAACGTTATCAAAATCAATTGAGTGGCCTTGTTGGCAAGCATGTTCTGCCACTGCCAACAGTTGTGTTTGAGATAATTGAATATTTCTTTGGTGTTCTTTTAGTCTTACGCTGAAGTTACGTCCCGTCTGTCCAATATAGCATCTGCCACATTAGCAATTAATCTGATATACACCTTCTGTTGATAATTTAGGTAATTCGTCTTTAGTACAAGATACTAGTTTTTGAATTTTGTGTACTTTACCATATCTTAGTTTAATTTTTTGCTTTTGCAAAACACGGGCTAATTTGTCAATTACTCCTGTGATATATGGTATTTTAATTGTTTTAATAATCTGATCACTTGCAGCAGTGTTGCTTTGTGATCTTGATTTGGCATTCAGTGCTCTGTGAATTTCAGCATTAGTGTAGCCATTATGTCGTAGTGCTTCTTTAACATGTTTAATCTCTCTCCCTCGACTTTCACCATCTGACACTCTTTTAGCCCGATGCATGAGCGTCTTGATAAGAGAGAATTTCTGAGCTGGGTGATGATGTGAATCTGCATTCAGATAGGCATCCATGTGCATTCACTTTCGGTAAACGCTGTGTTTTTTGTTGCCATTTAGGCCATGTCCAAGCAAAATATCTAGGAAAGGGAGTGTGTTTTTCACTTCCGTTTCCATGGTGAACTGGATGGCTGGGTTTTGTGCATTGAGATGATTTATAAATTCATTAAGTGTATCTTAACCATGTGGCCAGACAACCAAAGTGTCATCAACATATCTAAACCAAAAATATGGTTTTAATGTACTTGAGGCAAGTGCTCTTGTTTCAAAGTTTTCCATGTACAGATTTGCTATAGCTGGAGATAATGGAGAGCCCATTGCTGCGCCTTCCTTTTGTTTAATGAAATCATCTGTCCATAAGAAGTAAGTGTTATTTAAACAATGGTCAGCTAGTTTTGGAATATCTTTTGGTAAACCTGCATTCTTTACTAGTGTATCAAGTAATTTAAGCAACTCGTTAACTGGAACCTTAGTGAAATCACATCATTGAGTTAAATGATGATGTCACCCTGCTGCTCTATTTAAGACCGGGAGCAGGTGGAGGGCTTCAATATTCTGGCAAATTGCCCGATGATGCTGGATGTAATTAGCAGCAAAACGTCGTACTCAAAAATTTTAAATGTTGTGGATTCACTCTTCAACACACCGGTGGGCTGAAGTAGTGAACTATTTGTCTCTTATAATTTTGTTGACAGACAAACGGCATGCCGGGCTTTCACAATAGCTTAGTATTTGTGTATGTATATGTTATGTTTTTAAGAGAAGTTTTGAAATATATTTTTCCCCCGGGCAACGCCGGGTACTTCGTGATAGTTGGCTCATAAAACATTTTCACGTAAGCTAATGTTTATTAATGATGTTAGTTCAATATGTTCAGCCTGTGCTTCTACAAGACTGCCAGTGCATTCCCCCTGGGGCCCCCGGCCCCCACCGTGATCCGGTCACGTGTCCGGCCAGGTTCATACAGAGTGCCACGGCCTCACACAACCCCCGTGGCACTGACCGACAGGCTCCCTGACCCGGCCGTGACGTCATTCCCATATCCACACATAGTGACGTCATGTGTGTGTTCAGACCCACATGGTAGTGACGTTACAAGTCACTACAGTAGTATCCACTGACTATAGTAGTAACTAACTCTATAGTAGTAACTTCTGACTTTATAGCGGTATTTGCAGACTATAGTAGTATCTACTGATTCAATAGTAGTATCTGCCGATTATAGCAGTATTAACCAACTCTATAGTAGTAAATACTGACTTTGCAGTAGTATCTAATGACTAGTAGTATCTACTGAATCTATAGTCGTATCTATTGACTCTAAAATAGTATCAACTGACTATACTAGTAACTATTAACTTTATAGTGGTTTCTGCTGACTCTATAGCAGTATTCACTGACTATAGTAGTAACTAACTCGATAATAGTAACTTTTGACTATAGCCGTATCTGCAGACTCTATAGCAGTATCTGCTTACTCTATAGCAGTATCTGCTTACTCTATAGCAGTATCTGCTTATTCTACAGCAGTGTCTAATGACTCTACAGCAGTATCTAATGACGCTACAGTAGCATCTACCGACTCTGCAGTAGTATCTCCCGAATTTACAGGAGTATCTACCGACTCTACAATAGTATATACTGACTCTTTCATAGTATCTATCGACTCTATAGCAGTTAATTACTTACTTTACAGAGTGCCGTGGTGAGGCCTAGTCCCGTGCAGAGCCTCCGGTCTCGCCTAGATTGCCCAGCCAGCCGAGGTGGCACCTTGGCAGGCTGTGGCTGGGCTGCTACACCCCCCACCATCGCCCGCTCTACAATAGCAGTAACTACAAACTCTACAGTAGCATTTACCGCCCCTATAGTAGTAACTGCACACATTGGGGTGGGGGGGAGAAGAGGACATCACACTGTGAAGAATTTATCTCAGTCTTGTGTATTTATTTAGCATTTTTAACGCGAATTAGATTTTTTCTCCGTCCCCACCAATCGCGTGTGAGCGTTGCTAGGGCAACCACAGGTCAGCTTTTACTCGCATGCGCAAATGTGTGCTTTGGCGCGTGCTCAGCGTAGTAATATAATAATTAATAGTAATTAATTGTTAACTTAACTACTTTCAAGTTGACGGATGTGAAATACGAATAGCCCTGGCTCACCCCGGGGCTTATCGCTTGGTATCTGGGCACTTTTTTTTTAAACCTAAACCCCACAGTTTGCGAGTTAAAACCGTCGCAAGTTGCGTCCACAGACACACAGACCGACAAAAAAATTACTTTTTTAGGTAAGATAGAAATTTGTTAGAACAGGACCATTAGACGCATTTATGCTATTGGAGCTCAAAGTATTTGCAGCCCGCTTCTGGACCACAGTCAACAGTCCCTTAATTTCATTTTAATGGAATCATGAATTGTGGTCAACATCATCTCCATATATATATAAAAAAGGGAAAGTTGTGATTATGTGTGTCTGTTAAAAATGTTTAGCATACTTCCCGACATGCAACAAACTTGAAATTTGCCGTGTGGGTACTTTCCAGACTACACTATGCAAAAATTATAAAAATACACTTATTTCCTTTTTTTGGGGGGGGGGCTCAATAATGCATATGTTTTTTGCACGGCAAGTGAGCTGTGACGTCAGATTTGTCATGTGACCCGCACATGTGGAAGCGTAACGCATTGTAGTGTCGTGGTTAGCGCGCTGCGCTACGAACCCGGCGACCCGAGTTCGATTCCCACTCACGGTCACCACCGTTGACGATTATTTGAACCGGTCCTGGGCCTCCCCTAGGTCGACTCAGCCTCAAACGAGTAACTGGTGCGGTGTGTGAACATTGCCACTGGGGGGACAAAGGCGGCCGGGTGTGGTGAATCCAAGTCCCGGGCGAAGCCGGGTAGTAAAGCTAGTCTATATATATAAAAAAGGGAAATTTGTGAATGTGTGTCTGTTCAAAATGTTTAGCATACTTCCCGACATGCAACAAACTTGAAATTTGCCATGTGGGTACTTTCCAGACTGTACACCATGAAAAAATTATACAAATAGACTCTTGTATATATTTTTTTGGGGTGGGGCGCAATAATGCATATATTTTGCACGGCAAGTGAGCTGTGACGTCACATCCGTGATGTCACCCGCATGCGGTAGCGTTACGCAGTGTGCCTGCTGACGTCATGCATCCCCCCCCCCCAAACCCTCCGCATAGGCCGTGTATTAATCCAAGACAAGAATCCAAGTCCCGGGCGAAGCCGGGTAGTAAAGCTAGTTAAAAAATGTCGCAGCACCCAGTGTTGGATGGCCAATACAGATGAACAAGCCTTGTGAGTGTCCTGCCAAGCCTTGACGATACCAGTGTTCTTGCTACCTTTTGATAAAACATCTTCATAGCTCGCCTTCAAAGCACTGTGTGGGTGCACCGAGGGTGAAACTGTTCCATCAATGGAATTTGGGGCTTTTAATCTCAGCGATGCATTTTTGACCTGCTGTTTTGGTGACGTGGCTATTTCCGGTGTTATTAAAAATGCATCTGTTTTGTCACCCACTTGGTATCCGTGAGTGTTTTGGTCTCGTATTGTGCATCGGCGTATGATGTATACCCCTGACTCATTTACCTACTACCGAAGCCGCACTCGGCGTACGCGTGCCAATGCGCGTGGTTGCCTCAATGTGCCTGTGCGTGTGCACGTGCCTGTGCGTGTGTATGTGCTACTGCCTGCGTGCCTGTGTACCCTCGGGACAACGCCGCCACCGTCACCCGCTGCTGTCTGCAGATCCCACAGGAGGACCGAGCTCCGCTTTGGGCACTGCTCACCTTCTATGGTGGAGCCTGCCAGCTGTTGCTCGACAAGCGCTGCACCCACCTGGTTATCCCCGAGCCCAAGGGGGTAAGTCTTGCCTGCATCGCCGCATACCCACCTCACGATCGCCTTGCACGTTGGAGTGGCCAGGTAACTTGGGGTAGTTAGTTCTGTCGGAGCACTGAACCCAGCACTCCTGCCAGATTGGGTTCCAGTTCAGGATAATTAACTAACTGTGATTTCACACATTGATGATCTCAACCCGTTTACCGATATAACACAAATGTCCACCGTATTAAATTTAATTTATCACTTATATTGGTTGATTCCAACTCTTGAGGATTAAAACGTTGTTTTTGATTGTGATATGTGATAAATGCAGTATGGGTAACTCGATAGACATGATTGATATAATCTAAAATAAATGGTAATGAATTGTACTTACTAATTACCTTGACACTTTGTGAATTGTATTACACTGAAACTTGTGCAATATAAGTAATAAATGATGATTGTGATTAATTTGATTTTCTGCAATGGGAAGTATCTGGCAGTTGTTGCATCACTCACTGTGAGAGTTCTGAATGGAAATGTATTCATACCATTGCATTAATTTATAGTTTTCGTGAAATAAAATCATGCGAAAGAAATAAAATAAGTCTTATGTAGGGCTGTCATGCTAGTCCTTGATTTTGTCAGCTTAGGTCATCTTAGTGCAGATGAGATAACAAGTGGCAGCCACTGCTTCTTGTGCTTGTAAACACTCGGTCGACTAGAGGCTTATCTGCTTTTGGTAATATTTTGATTAGTTACAATTCTACTACTGCTATGATAATAGGTTTTTCCCCCTGTTTCTGGCAACAAAACAGGTGTTAAGATGTTAAAACACCAAACTGAAACCTTTTTGCAAGGAATAATGTCTGCAGTAACCACAATGCTTGTGGTCAGAGTATGTTATTTTGGTACTGGCAAAGGAGGTCCCAATCCGACTACTGTTGTAAATGCTGTTCAGCCTACTCACCTATGACTGCAACAAAAACAATGAAATGTAATTTTTATTTCATTTGGCCTGTGCCATCTCTGAAGCTTAATACATTTTGATTTAAATTGAGTATGCGACTTACAACATTTAAATGGCTTTAACAGGTGCATCCCTCGTATTTACACACAGGGTCTTTTGAAGTAATTTAAGAATTCGTTTTTCGATATATTATTGGCTTGTTCTCTTACACAGTGATGCAGTGCTTCTTGCAGAGTTCCACTGGAAGTTCGTTTTATGGCATGAATGTCAAAAACACAAGTAAAATCTAAATTAGATTTTTTCATGTTTTGTTTAATTGGTTTATGTGAACCTTGTAGTTATTGGAACGGCTGTGTTCACCACAGAAGCAGAATTTTTTAAATCAAGACCCTAAGTCATGAAATTCATCATGGGGGGGGGGGGGATCATTACACAAACCTAATGTATGATCACATTGTGTACAGTCCGATAGATAAGGATATCATTTGTTTGCATCGCTTAAAAGCTTTTGCTTGTTTACATATTTTAGCTGAAAGGGTTGACTTAATGATCCTTTTCTGAGTCTACGAGTTCCTCCATGTTTTCTCCCCCCCCCCCCCCTTTCTGAGTAACTTATTCGAACCATACAAATCCGCTCGCCCTCTTCGCTCACCTTCCTAGCCCTGGCCTCCACCGCACCCCATGCTTGCTCCGTGCCACTTTTGGTGACCACTGTCAGTGACTGTGCTCCCGTCCTCTACAACTCGGTCCCCACGCATCCTCTGCTCGCCTCTTCTCTTCTCTTCTCGCCTTCAAATCACTCACTGCTGAAAACATTTCTCTTTGCTCAAACGTTCCACCCTCTTTCGTTTTCGCTCATTGTGCAATTCATTATCCCCCAATTGTGCGGCGCTGCTTTGACGTTTGGTTATGCGATTCGCACCTTATAAATGAAAGTATTTGTGTCATGATGCACGCTTTAACTTTATTCAGGTTTGAGTAATTACAGTGACTGAGTGCCTGATTTAATATGTTGGCAGAAAACACATTTTCATTTATTTTGCCAGACAAATGGAAAAAGTGATTGGAAGTAGCTTAATATTTGTTAGTAGGTGGTGTTATTTAGTAGGCAGCATTATTTAATGCTTACAGTCGTGTGTTATTAGCCGATGCCACAGTGACGCTTTGTTCTGCATTGTCTGACGAGTGGGTTTTCTGCCTGCGCTTGTGCCCTATGCGCTCGTCTACCACACTGTGTGCAGGAGAAGTACACATGTGCACTGAAGCACAGCCGCATCCGCGTCGTGACTCCAGACTGGGTGGTGGACTGCGTATCGAGCAAGAGCAGGAAGGAGGAGACCGAGTACCACCCTCGCCTGGTGCTCCTCCCGAGGGAGGAGGAGCTCCCGCTGGAGCAGCCGGAGACTGCGAATGACAGCGACCATGAAGGTGACGATCCCAACGTCGATGATGAAGAGAAAGATGATGAGCACGAAGAGGAAGAAGAAGAAGAAAAGGGGCGCAGCGTTAACTTTGAAGATTCTGGTTCCGCACAGTCAAAGGACGATTCCCCAATGAGCACCACTGACTCGCCATCCAGGAAGTTTGTGGAGGAAAGGCGGACTGAACAACAGGCAGTCGGGGATTTGCATCGTGTCCATATACCTCAGAGGCCGACAAACGAGAGGCCTGTTGTTCGGGCTTTATCATCAAAGTGCACACCAATGATTGAGAGGCCGCCATTTATGCCACCGGCAATGTTAAAGTCTTCACCTGTGCTGTCTGGCCCCTCCAAGAGTCTGATGATTCCTCAACCCCCACCAGGCATTTGCATCCCCCTTCCGGGTCCGAGGGCTGCCCCCAGTTTAGGCACCTTGCACACCATTCGGCCGAGTATGGATGCTCGCATGCGCCAGAGCCTCAGTGCACTTCCGTCTCCGTCCAATGGGCGGCTCCAGCTGGATGTTATGACCCTGCCATCTGGAGAAGTGTGGGTCCAGACTGTTCAAGGCAGACCTGCCCGCCCTCTTGCAGCAAACTCTGCCATGCCCACATCCCAGGATGGCCGGCTGCAGCAAGGATTTGCCATGTCCAGACAGATGCATGTCTCTGAGCTCACGGCTCAGGGACTCGGAGGCATGGTCACCCGGCCATTAGGGTTCCAGGGGGCGGTTGGGGGTTCAGGGCCCCGGCCAGAACATACACCAATGAGCATGGGGGGGAACAGGCCGGGACCTGGGCTGGAGTTCACGGGGATAAGTCCGATGGTGAGGACCCTAAGAAACATCACCAACAGCGCCGAGGCACTGCAGGTCTCCAGGGCATCCAATGTGGCTCACGTGAGTACACAGAACACTTTCCCAACAGAAAGGATTTGGCGTGGCTTTTTTTGTACATGCATTGTTAAAAACAAAAGCATTATTTTTTAATTGCACAAGAGAGCATATAGGAAAAGTATGCTTTGTGAAGCTGAAATTAACAGTTGACAGTGCAGGTACCTAAGAACTATTTAACAGATGCAGGCAATGTTTACGAACAAACCCTACAAATAGTAATATAGGACATGGGTTATTCTTTGGCTAGAAGATTTAACTTTTTTCTCCAGAGTAGAAGCATACTACTGACATGAGTGATTATTTGTTGTTGCTTCTCAGCTGCTCGGTGCAGTAATAGCATATGAGAGTAGTTTATCTGCTGCCTTGTTAGAGGTCATTGAGCCCAGGAGTGCATTGCTGGGTGGAATTCCACCTTGTGTCCTCACAAGAACAAATCTTCCTACGATGCAATGGGCCAACAACATTTTATGATTTTACTTTGAATGAGTTTAGTAATACCTTTTGGTTATTGAAGGGGTTGTCTATTACTCAGTAGCTACAACGAGATAACTATTCATATGCTAAATAAAGAAAAAAATATCAGAAAACATTTGTAATATTTAGTTGTCATCAGGCCCCTATGGTATTAAGTGCAGTCTCCACCCCTTGTTAACGGTATCTCTCTGGCCTCTTTATTTATGTGCTATGAAGAAGGGCAATTCACTGTCTAAAATGTTTTTTTAAGGCAGTGTTATTGACAAGTGTGAGCTCTTTGGGTGGTGGGAAGTTCAAAGTAATTGACAGCTGAAAGGTTGGAGGAGTGAGGTTGTTAATTGTGCTTGTGCGCAACTGCCAAGCACAATTAACAGAAAGCATCACCAAATAATTAGTCTAATTTACGAGAGGGCAAGATGGTGGTTCACCTGAAAATCATGTGGCTGTGACTTTCAGTTCCCTTTTCTCTCCAACAAAGCTTCAGACTTGTCAGACATCCGTAATACACAGGTTACGAATGTATTTACAGCACAGATGTGTGTTTATTGGTTGTAGTGTTGTTTAAAATTGAGCATAACATTCCAAATGTTGTACTCATGGGCATTAATTTGCTTGTCACATATTGCCCTTTTAATTGCAGCCACTGACAAGGAATCCCACTTGTGTTGCAAATTATAAATGTAATCATCCCACACGTTCTTGACACGTTTAGAACGTTGCATTCAATGTAGGCATAGGGAAATGACAAACTTTTGCAACATTTCATGACTTTATCTTTTCTTTTTCCAACCATCAATCTCTTATTTCCTCTAAGTAGTTACTGTATCTGAGTGTGTCACTACACGACTGATTGGCATGTCCATGTGAATGGTGTTCCTCCGAGCATGGTCACCCGGCCATTGGGCTTCCAGGGGGTTCATTTGTAAAATAATTCAGAATGGGATACTTTAATTTTGGCATGACTAAATCGACTAATTTGTATCTTTTTTTAACATTGGCCGTATGTAGAAAATATCAAGACCCACATTCTTTAATTCTTTGATAGAATGTCAGAGGTTATTTTAAGAAAAGACAAAGGGATCAATTGGCAGTCTAATACATCCCAGTGTTCATTTATAATTCCATATGTGTGTTTTCAGCCTTTGTAGGTGTTAGTTGTACAATATACATCTTATTAATATCCCGGCTTGTGTGTGCATGTGCCCTTTGAGTCCATTCTCTGTTTGACTGTGTTGGGTATGTGCGTGCAAGCGACAGGTGCTGCAGAGCATGTCAGTTCCCACACGCACACTGGAGACTCACCGGCCAGGAGAACCCAGGCCTCCACATGAGGGGGCCTACATTCAGGTCAAGCCAGCAACGAGTCAACCCAGCAGTGCTGTGGAGTACTGCACAGAGGGTGCGTTAAGGGGTAACACACGGTCACTGAGGTTGAACCACTGATATCCATTGTTCTCATTTTGACATGTGTTTGCATTGAGTTTATTGTTTTTACTGTTGTCCTTCTATAAGAATAGGTTTTCCCCTTTTTTCTGGCAACTAAACAAGTGTCAAGATGTTAAGACACCAAACTGAAACCTTTACAAGGAATCATGTCTGCATTAACCACAATAATTGTGGTCAGAATGCAGACAAAAAACATACTCTGATAATATATGCATTGTCTTTGAAACTGATTGGTCCACACCAGAGACAGCTTTCTTTGGCGTCCTCTGGTCTAACACCATATATTTTGGTACTGGCAAAGGAGGTCCCATGATATTGTCCTTCTAATTGATTTTATTGACATTCCTACCAGCCTGGCTTGCAAAGCAGATGTTAATCTCAGAAGGTTATTGCCTGGTTAATTTACATTGTCCAAAATTTGCCAGACCGCTGCCATATCTATACCAATTTTCCAATAAATTTAGGCAGAACCGCTGTTCATCCCAAATATGAACTATAAACAACGAATTGTTCCTGCTCAAATTTCTGAAACATAGTGCTGATGTCCTTGTTGCCCCAGGGCTAACGTTAGGAATTTTACATTCCAATGACAATGCCAGTGATTCCATATGATGACCACTGTTGACTTCCCACAAAATGGTACTTAAGGGATGGTGGGTTGAGTCGATCTCAAACTTGGATTTTAACTCGTAAATTTCCAATTGGAAGTACAGCTCTCTACCAACACTTCTACCTGGCTGGATCTCATACGAATCAGGCCCAGTAAATGTGCAATCGCTGTCGCCTGGTAAAACAAGATGACAGACCATATTAATTTGGAAAGTGCAATTAGTTTAATCTGATTTTACTTACAGCGCCAAGCGACTGCTGCCTGCTCGGTTGTGTGTTCGCCATCGCCGAGTACCAGGAGCAGATGCTGGACAAGCAACTGCTCAACTCGTGGAAAAAGGTTGGAAGTCACACTCGCCTCGAGAGCCAGACCTTTTTGTTGGGAATGTGCTGGTCCAGTTCAGGCCTGACCGCAAATTGGAGGTCAAGAGCCAACCTTCAAACCATATGACTTTAGGTCCGGTCGGTCTCTTAAATATCGTAATCGTGCCCCCCCTCCCATTGCATGTAAAACTAAAATTCAAAAGAGCACAATATTGTTATTTGCCACTCTGCCACTGGGCAAATGACTGTCTCACCATAATTAGCCACAATTACTGTTGCTGGTCTGTAAATAAGCCATTCAAGAAGGCAAATACATTGTCATCAAATACTGAATTGAGATTATTTGGTGAATTGGTGAACAACTCTACATATTTGGGATGATGTAAAATGAACTGAAACACAAAATGGGATTCAGTTGCAGGTTTGGGGGGTTATTTAACCGTACTTCACCACTCTGGGCCAATGCGGTTTGGTTAAGGTGGGGAACATAAATGTAGGAGCATAGGTGTTACAGTACATTTTATTTTTGTGCACTGCCCTCTGCTGACCACAACTTGGTACAGCCCCACAGTATGTACGTAGCCGTCATGCTAATCGAAGGTGCGGGGGAAGAACAACAACAAAATCAACTCCTTAAAAAAAGGTTTTTTTTTAAAACAACGGTTTTATTCACAACTTCGTTAAATCACGGTCGAGAAGTACGTCAATAATGCGGCGCCTGCTCCCACATCAACGCTTACTTGAATAAATTGGTTATTTTATAAATGAATCTTCAATGTACAACTTTTGTTTCTGCGGAGTGAGGGTGCCCGTAACTCGTTCACACAGAGCGGGCGCACCTGAGACACGTGGCGCCTGCTTCTTGGGCGAGGCGATTCGAGTGTTTTGGGACCGGCGCGTTTTTGACCTAAGGCGTTCGTATGAAATGTTAATTGCTTTAACGGAGCCAATTAATGCATTAATTAATGCCGATTTTGATACAGGCATGCATTGTCACCGTAGCTGAGTACGTGTGCAAAATTTGGAATTGATTGGACAACAGGAAGTAGACTAAATTTTTATTACAAGATTTGACCACGACAAACAGGAGTCAAGTTAAGTTAAACCATTGAAAAACCTGTGTAAAATGCAGATTATTTAAGTATGCATAACATTCCATGCAAAACCCATCACTTGAATAAAAAAAATATAACATTTAGCAATTTTATTCACCGTTTTTACACACTGATGCATAACATATTTCTATGCACGAAGCACACATTAAGAGAACAGGCAGTCTCTGGTTAACATGACGTTTGGAAAACAAAAGCCGATGTTATTTTTATATTAACATACATTAATTTTTATGAAGAATTTGCATAATCTATATATTAAAAAGGGGGGATTGGTAGTGTAGTGGTTAGCGCGCTGCGCTACGAACCCGGCGACCCGAGTTTGATTCCCGCTCACGGCCACCACTGTTGACGATTATTTGAACCGGTCCTGGGCCTCCCCTAGGTCGACTCAGCCTCAAACGAGTAACTGGTGTGGTGTGTGAACATCGCCACTGGGGAGACAAAGGCGGCCGGGCGTGGTGAATCCAAGTCCCGGGTGAAGCCTGGTAGTAAAGCTAGTTGGAAATATAATATATTGACCTAAATTGGACTTTCAAAATGTAATTTCTTTCCACTCATTATTGTGTGCAGGAAATGTTATCTCCCTCAACGTTTAATTTATGTTTACGCGAGTGCATATCTTTGCATGAATGTGATGTGTGTGCAATGCATATGGCTATTTTTTTATTCAGATTTTAGTTTACAATACAGTGTTAATTTTACAACAGAAGATTTTTGATTCCAGGTATTGCAAATTATTCAGCTCTTCCCAGCTATGACGACAGCACTCGGCTCACAGTTTTAGCATCAGGAGTTAAAATTCTGGTCAGAGGTCGAGTTTATAAAATGAGCACTGCCTGTGCAGGAAGTTGGCAATATTGGGCCTTTGGAGAGACAGGCTCTACAATGAGAATGTGGAATTCCCACTTTTGGCTCAGGATCACTGTCCAATATGAGCATTGCCATATTTCTTGTTTTGAGGGGAGAGATACTTTGATTTGACTGTGATGTGTTGTGATGAATGTTCCTTAGGCAATCATTCAGAATGGAGGGCTGGTGGAAGCTGCTCACTCACCTCGCTGCACACACCTGCTATGTGAAAGTCAGACTGGGCCGGTGTTTGCACAGGTAAAGAATAATTCTCACCTAGAATGCATCGGTGATTGGTCTGGCAACAATCACAGAGCCACCATCTTATGTATGAAAGTCATTTTTTGTCTGTCTGTGTGTCTGTCTGTGCACACACCTTATGACGCTTTTAACTGACAAACTGTTGGGTGGGGGGGCAGCCCAGCCCAGCCCCACCCGACTAAGGTGCCACCTCGGCCGGCTGGGTAATCTAGCCGAGGCCAGCGACACTCCGCCGGACTAGGCCTCACCACGGCGCACTTTAGTGTTAGTAGATACTGCTGTAGAGTCGATAAATACTATTCTCGAGTCGGTTGATACTACTACAGTCAGGTACTACTGTAGAGTCACTCGATACTACTATAGAGTCAGTGGTTATGACTATAGAGTCGGTACATACTACTGTGGAGTCGATAGATACGACTAGAGTCAGTAGATGCTATAAAGTTGGGAGATACTACTGTAGTGTCAGTAGATACTGATATAGAGTCAGCAGATATAACTATAGAGTCCGCAGATACTACTATAGAGTTAGTAGTTACTACAATAGTCAGTGGATACTACTGTAGTGGATTCAACTGAGTTGCAGACGTACTTCTTGGAGGCAACACATTTATTAACACCAACACATTAACACGAAGGGGTTACTGTCCCTTTACCAGATAACCTATGGTGGTGGACCACCAGGCTAACTAAGCTAGTTACTGGGAGTAGCTTCAACGGACAGGACCCTGGTTTGGGTCCTCGTCCATGTGTTGGTGACTTCTTCTTGGACGTAGAACGTAGATCGTAGATCTTCAGAATGACGACAGCAACGCTGAACCCCGTTCCCTGTGCGGACCCGGTTTATATCCTCCCGGGTCTTGGCTGGCCCCGCCCTTGGCCACGACCACCTTCGAGAAACCTCTTGTCGTTTCTAAACCCTTCCCGTAGGATCTCACCCTGACACATGACCACCCCCTAGCCCCCATCTGGGGCCCCTGTGTAGATCTTACTTGTCACGTGCCTTCCAGGGTCAACCCGAGTGCCATGGCCTAGGGTAACCTCATCCCATGGCTGACACTCTCACACTCCCTCTTGTAGGAGTCAGCACTGCACGCCATGCGTGGTGCCACTGCGCTATCCCATCACTCACCGAGCTCCCTCTAGGGCTGGTACTACACCCACCTACGGGGTGTCCGTGATGACAATGTATCGCACGCCGTGCCACGCTAGAGCCGGCATTACTCAGTGACATTCACGATGTCGCTAGATACGTGATGTCCGCGATGCGAGTACGTCGCACGCCGTGCCCCTCTTGGACCGGCAACACACAATGACATCCGCGATGTCACTACACTACTATAGAGTCAATAGATACTACTATTGAGTCGGTAAATACTTCTATAGAATCGGTAGACACTCCTGTACTCAGTAGATACTACTGTACAGTCAGTAGATACAACTATATAGTCAGCAGATACTGCGATAGTCAGAAGATACTACTATAGAGTTAGTAGTTACTACTATAGTCAGTGGATACTACTATAGAGTCAATAGATACTACTATTGAGTCAGTAAATACTACTATAGAATCAGTAGACACTACTGTACTCAGTAGATACTACTGTACAGTCAGTAGATACAACTATATAGTCAGCAGATACTACTATAGAGTCAGTAGATACTACTACTGTAGAGCCAGATACTACTATAGTGTCAGTAGATACTACTCACTCTATTGTATGTAGGGTGTGTAGGTATATATGCCTACGGGGGGGGGGGGGTGGTAAATATTTTTTGAGCGGGGGAAGGTCGACAATTTTTGGAAACCTTTTAGATCAACTATTTATCCCCCACTTTCTATTACTTTTTGATTCAGGACTTCTGCAAGCCTCTTATCATTTTGTTGACAGACAAATGGACAGGAAACCGGAACGCTGGGCTTTCACAATAGCTTAGTATTTTTGTATGTATATGTTATGTTTTTAAGAGAAAACAAGTTTTGAAATATATTTTCCCCCCGGGCAATGCTGGTTACTTCCTGCCAGTATGTTATAAATTGATGGAGGTGTTTTTACTTTGAGAGTGAACGCTCACTGTCTTGATGATTTTGACGGTTAAAAAATTAATCAAGCGAGGCTGTGAATCAGACATTTACGGTCGTACGAAAGTTTTGCTTTAATGTACAAACTTAACTTAGAACCTTAGGCGCCTTGATTATATTTTGGATCAGGTGCTGATGCCAGAACTTTCACTGTCTTTACCTCACCATTTTATTGTCTCATCAAATATGAAAGAAAATTGAAATTTGCTTTTTTGAGATGTAAATCGGAGCATGCTGCTTTTTATTCGTCAATGCTGCTGGTATATACACGATTGAACACAAACTTACAACCAAAATGTATGGGAGTGAGATGAAATTGTGCGCATTGAATACTGACTTGGTGGTGTAATGAATGACAACTTGAGTAAGGTTTATTTTTATGGTTGTTGCTCTAACATGTTTTTAAACACTAGGGGACAGCAAAACGTGACTCTTTGTGAATAAAGGGGATTGAAGTTATTTTAAATCACAGTTGCTGAACCCAGATATAAAAACACCAAGCGGCCAGCAATAAATAGCACTTGAAGTTGTAACAGATAATGGTTCTCGAATTGAACAGATTTATAAGAACTTTGAAAAAGAGACAATGGGATCGAATTCCAAAGGCAAGTCCCATGAGGGAAGAAGCAGAATCAGAAGTATTTTAAACTGGGCAGTATTGTGGTTGAACACAGTATAGATGGGACGAAGGGTCTGGAAGATCAAGTCCTTAAAATGAGTGAAACAATCAATGAGTAAAATTCACGGGAGCAGCAACCATGGTAGTAGTGATAGAGAGTGATGGCATGTTTGCATGTAACATCAACTGAGTGTGGGGTTGTGTCAGAAATTAGAAACCGATGAAAGGTACTGGGGCCGATTTGAGAATCTAGAATGCGAGCAGCATAGTCAACCAAATGTTCATGGTTCTCATTTGCAAAAAATGTGCTTCATGGTCAGCTTCATTTCTAGTTAGGTTTTTTTTGCCACAAACTGTTGTGAACTTCACCTAGGACATTTATCGAAATACAAGGATGTTGCTGATATACAAATTCAATGTATATCAGTGGTGAGTAATAAAGGGATCACATTTAGTGGAGGGAGAGACATGCATACCCACAAAAGATCAAAACTAGCGCTAGATATCTTAAAATCAGGGCAGCCTAATACAAACTCTATCGCTGGTGAATGCACGAACTTCACCTTTAAATCAGAAATAGTGAAAAGGCAACAGTCGGGGGAGCTACATTACAATTTGGAGGTCAAATGATGGTGAAATCATTTCTGTTCGAAACAGGAAGTGGGGTTTAGTTGTTTCCAGGTGATGATGAATGGATGTGATGTTACTCTTGATACCCTGGATTTTACAGAAATTAATGTTAATCAAACTTATTATTGAAAGTGGGAGCCTCCCTGTTAGCCACTGCAGAGCAATTAACATGATTCTTCGATAGCATAAGATAACAAGACAGGAGAAGTACTTTTCACCAGGGTTAACTGTTCTAGTACAGTCAGAGCACCTATGCCTATTCTTCGGTTAGGATAGGTCTTTCTCATTATTTAGAGATTCGATTAGTAAGAGTATCTACAGCCAAAGGCTACTCTATCCCCGAATGTGGTCTCCCAATTCCTGTCTTGGTGACCTACCCTCCTCCATTCAAGCACACGTCCCACACTCATCACGACTATCTCGTCCTGGCTCTTGACAAGAATAATATAATATTATGACAGGATCGTTTGCCAATTATATTAAGTATCGCTGTATCAGCCTTACGCTGTGTGTTTCCGCCAAATCTTGTGCATGCACGTTCTCCCCCCACCCCCAAAGCAAATGTGTGATACAATTGGGAAGGACAAGATTGGGAAGGACAAGATCAAAAGGCTCACATAATGCGCATGCATAATGGGCGTTGACTCATTAATCTCCCTCCCCCCCCCACTTTGCGCAAGAGCGCAGCAGTGTTGTCACCACATCTACGCCTCAATATAAGGAACGAAACAGGTGGACTTCTCCACAAATGTGGCTGTCGGCTGATGAAGCTGGTTGTAATTACTGGCAAAACGTCATACTCAGATTGTAAATGTTGTGGCTTGGCTCTCCAACACACTGGTGTGCTGTACTAGTGACGAATTGGCATGTTCTGTTTACGTGACAACCCTTACTAGATGGCTGTGTCAGGTGGTGGCGGGTTTAACGACACATTTATATATTTACGAAATCTAACCCAAGAAAAACCTCTTATGGATGATATTTGTCGCGGAAGCCTACGTGTTCAACCAAAAATATACATAACAAAATAAGCATGCAGTCTCCATCATTTTGCTCTTATAGTACATGGGCTTCTTTGTTGACAGAAATTTTAGAAAAAGGACTGGGTCTATTCTTGTTCGTGAATTGATCAAAGTTCATTGGCACAGAAATTTTGGCAGGCAGAAACAATTTCATGGCTTTGATGCCATAATAGCAATGGCAGGATCTGCAGTTCTTGTGTTTGTGAGGTAATTGAAGAATTGGCACCCTATTACTGGAGTTAAAAGTGGTTAGGTAATGCCTAAATGATGGGACATTAATTGGGGAGGGTATAGCTGCTCAGTTAATAGCCAGATACTTTCACCTCTGACAGTTGACAGTGGCTGCTGTGTCAGATGTACTCTTAGGCAGATAATTTGAAAGAATGCCGGATGCGTCTGCTTAATTAGACTAGCCACATCATCCAATTTACGACCTGGCAAAATAATTCAGGATTGCTAGATGAAAACTAAAAGAAAATGTCCACGAGCTGCTTACAGAAGCAGTTTGGTGACAGCAGTTTTAGGACATTTTCTTCCAATTGGCCAGTTTTTATTGAATGAGCATAGCCAATGGGCATTTATTTTATGCGAGTAATTCAAAGAAATGCACAACACCCTTTTTATATTTGTGTAGTGGCATAGCGCTCGCTTGCTGGCGATGATATACACGAGAGGGGGACATCGAGGGGAAAGGTCACAGAAGGTGTTCATCGGGTAGCCTCGGGAACCCGTTAGTAGGTTCCAGAAAGGGGGCGTGGCCGGGGCGGAGCGAGGCCACGCGGAGAGTATAAGAGGGGCCCCTGTGAGGGACGTGGTGGCTGTTGCTGGAAGTGGGATCCCTTTCGGGCAGCTCAAGTCCATCGTCGTCACCATCTCGTTGTCGTCTCCGTCTTCACCATCCCGGGGCGCTGCTAGTCAGCCTACCAACTGTTCTAACTAAGTAGTGCCGCCAACAATAGACGGTCCTAATAAGAATAGTGTGCACCCATGTAAGGTGTGTTTTATCCCGATGGTGCTCGCTAAATAAAGATGTGCCTCCAAGTCTTACTGTCTCCAAGTTAGTCACTGCATATGTATGCTTATACATTGTTTTCCTGATTCCGTACCGCCTCAAATATCACTAAATATTTGTAAAGCAGAAGGTTATAGGGAAGATATTTGTCTGGTTTACCTTGCAACTTCAAGGAATATATATTATAATGTAAATATTGCAAAATAGTCATTTTAATGGCTATTAATAATTTCTTAAATTAATTCTACTTATCACCTGCTTGCCTACAAAGTGGGCAGAATAGGGCAGTGCAGGAAAATATAATGTTTGTACTTCTATGCCACCACATCTGTGGTTCCTTACCTTCACCAAGCCGCATTGGTCAGTGTGGGGAAATATGGTCAAATAACCCCCTGAAATGTCATCAACTTAAAATAAAAAACCTTACAATATGACACCTAGCTAGAGTCAACATTTATCAGAACTGAATGATCCTCTTTGAGTCTGAACTCTAATACACAATCTGCTGCCATTCACCCCCATCTTTCACAGACACTGTATCTGCCTACTGTACTGTAGTGTGACCTGTTGTGATGGCGCAGGCACTAAAGGAGGGCAAGCGCTGTGTGACCGCGCACTGGCTCAATGACACGCTCAAGAGCAGACGGGTGATCCCTCCCAATCGCGCCCTGCACCTCCCCATGGCCTTGCAACATTCTGCCAAGCCCTGCGCGAGCCATGCAAGTCTCACCCCCATTCCACAACAGGCTGTTTCGCTGTGCACACGTGTGTTAACATTGTGAATCTTCCAATGCGACCCTGAAAATATGTAGCAATATCATCTGCTCATTGGTAGACATTTCCATTTGTGTAAATTCAGCATTTCCGTGGCAGTTTTCAGTATCCCCGTATGATAATCACTGTTACCTATAAGCTGGTAGTTATTTTATGATCCCCAGATGGATGATGAGCTGAGCCAACCTCTGGAATTTGAACCCATGCTATTTTGATTGAGTTGGATACCATCACTGCCACCTGGCAGAATGGCCGGATAATTGGTTCTTTAATTCCCGTTGATATACTTCATTTTACAATGGGAGAACCCATTGAGGCTCTTTTTCTAAAGTATTATTAAATTAATTGTCACGGTTCCAGGTTGCCATTTGATTTAAATTATATTTCTTTACTTTTCAGTCAATAATAGCACCTCTAGTGGTTGAAGAGGTGACATGAACCCATTACATATCACATAGAAATCAAACAAACTTTGAATTACATGTGGTTCGATTAATGTATAATTAAGATAAGACTGTATATCATTCACAATTTTCAATCCATACGCTCCAAAACACATTTGCAGATGTCGAGTGTTATTATATCCTTGATGTAATTGAACAAATCCAATGCATTTATAATAACTTAAAATAAGATAGGATAAAAAACGCAATTCTTACGAATGGTAATAACATTTTAAAACGTACAGTTTCAACAGACAAGTCAGAAATGCTTTTTGCATAAGCACACTGGTCAATAACACTGCTCACAACACATTGACGAACGCTTGCCTGTGCACCACTACCGACACAGCATCACCAACTAATCTGTTTTGTTTTATGAAAATAATACATTTTTAGATTTATTTATGTTTAAATGGATAACACAAGTACATCCTAACGCACTCATCAAAACGTCAGTTACGTCTTAAGGCCATTTTATCAGGAGGGTCTCGCTTAGGATGTTTTGATACATTTTATTTGAGTAATAATGCATGTGGGAATCAACTGGAGTGCCTGGAGAAATTACACTCAAAACACTGCATAGCTAGGTCAGTAATCTATTTGCTGTTCTGCCTTCTATTGGTACCTTGCTACCGCTTTAGTTTGAGAGTTGCGCTTGCCTGATATTGATAGCACCGCCTCCAAAGTGCTTGATTTTAAATATGCATGCGCCACCTCGACTGAAATTTTCTCCACCAAACTTTCTACAAATGCTAAGTGACCTTTGTGCTTTATTCTTGTGCTGTACAGATCATCTCGGTAACTGGGTTTGTGGACCAAGACAGGGAGGAGCTGAAGCTGATGATTGCACTAACAGGAGGCAGATACACTGGCTATCTCAGCCGGAGCAACACGCTGCTTGTTTGCAAAGAGTAAGATCTTTGTTATTCTTTTGTGTGTGCGACAAACTGTTTCTGCATGCATCACTCACATCCTGGAAAGAGTACATTACAATCTGTACATCTCTGAATCGATGCAAAATTGACAACCATCATGGTACGCCTACTCTGATTTATTGTGTGCAGGGATTTATTTTATACTTCATTGCATATGAGTCTTTAGTGAAGAGAATGTGCCTTCTGGTATTGTTTAATCATCTTTGATTGCCACCCATCACTGTCTGTGCTGGTCATAGGTAAATTAATCAAGACATTGTCACAATATGAAATATCACCTGACATGACCACAGAAATAACTGAATGTAGAGATGCGGAGGAGAATTAAGTAACATTGATAAAAGTGCAAATCACATTTTTAACGACCATCATCTCCTGTTATTTTGAAGTACTGTACACCAGTCTGATTGTAAGTTCAGATTTGAACCCCATCTAGACTCAACCTACATTTTCACATAAGTTACAAGTAGGCCGGATCCATGCTATACATAAACCAGGTCACAATTGTGCTCTGTTGTGTCTGCAGTAGTGTGTATCATAAAATGCCAAATGTGTAGTGCTTAGTTCTGAACCTTTCCAAATGCAGTAAAAACTAAATTTAATATGGTAAGATGGTGTGCGGTAATTGGTGACCAATTTATACTGTCATCTCGCTACATTCGAGCCACCCTGTTGGGTAAATGGATGACTGCCTAATTTCAACAGTAGACTTTCGGCAGTATCAACCAAGTGTTATGGCCAATAGAAGTTGACATTCAAAATAGTGCAATATTCGATCAATCATTCAATTCGGCTGACTTTTTGGAGCACTCTTAATCATTTGCGTGTTTTACTATTACCGTGTTTCTGCGTAAAAGCAAATTAATCCTAGGGTTTAATCTTTGTGCAAGCTCTGATGATTTTTTGTATCTGTAACCTATGCTTAACATCACATTTCAAGCTCGGGAGCCATTTGTTGAAATGCATTACAATTCAATTTATACCGTTGCCACTTGTACATGTGTACTGTGAAAGCCCTGGTCTCTTGTGATGTGGGGAAAATTCCATTCAATGTATGCTGTGCCTTAGCAGAACTGAAGCTGTCTAACCCTAAAGCTATATGGATTTGGCTCTGGGCTATGGGCAGCCCAGGTGCGGGTTTGTGTGATTGATTCATCACGCTAGGGGCTGCTGTATTATTGCAAATGGAACATTTTCCAGCGAAAAAATTGCTTATAAGAAACATAGTTAGAAATGCATTGTGCTGGTAGTCTTCCTTACCTGGGTAGACGTATGCATTCCATATTAAACCCGTGATGGAAAAGGTTTTTGTGTCATTGATTTTCTGGCAGATGTGATTACAGCCATGTAGGTACTCAGTCAGACTCCAATGAATGAGAAGCTCCTAATAATTAAATCTAGTGTGTTAAGATATTTTTTTTGCAAATTTTGCAAATAATATAGGTCCACCATTTGGATAATCTATCCCTGGATGACTGAGTTAGCTGTGCTGTAATTTTTTTTTAAATAATCAAATTAATTTAAGTAATTTCATTGGGTGCAATGGCAGAGCCAGGATTTTCAGGTAGGGGGGGGGCAACCCCTCCAGCAATGAAAAATGTTGTTAGTAACTAAGGACTTGTCCCTTGCTTTTTATTTGACGCGTGTGCGGCGATGGCGCAGCCATCGATCGAGGGTCGAATTCGAACCGTGTGTGATCGGCATCGCGCTCGCTGAAGATATGCCTTCAGGGAAGTCGTGTACTGTATACGCAACTGTGCACAATTCTGTGAGTCACTTATAACTGCTTTGCCGTTACTTATTGCCAATTATGGACTCACTATTGTTCTATCATCTCATAGAGTCCCTGGCACATAATAATATGCTACACAGTGGTAGTGGGAGTCGCAAAATGCCGATTTATTACTAATAAACCCCAATGATCCGATCGAAATTAGGGATTTCGATCGGATAATTAGGGGGGCATGTTCCACCCCCCCCCCCCCCCCACTGGCTCAGCCATCCAGGGATATGACCCAATCACTGGCAGAGTGTTAACTGTGCTGTAACATTATTGGTCAGATTAAAGCTACCAAACTGCTGAACTGTTCATACCTTATTTTGTATTGGTTATACAATATTACTTAAATTGTGTATGAACAAGGAACCTCTGCAGATTTAAAGATAGCACTAACTTATCTTAACACTGAATCGAACTCCAGGCAACTTTTTTTTCATTGTACGGTAAATTCAACAAAGTGCTGATTTAACAAAATAAACATAGACTTATACATTGCAGGCTAGGTGTTTTGCTATTTTTGCTATTTCATTCCTTAGAATACACCGAACATTTTCTTAGGATGCCACATGTTTTAGTTTTCCTCGGGGCAGAAACCACTCAAGTTGGTGAATTTTATGAATATCTGCATCTTGACAGGGCCATTAACTACAGGGCCCATTACCATATATGTGACACCAAGTGGCAGTTAATGCCATTTATTTATGTTGCTGCTCTAAAATGGAATGTCTAGGAGCTTTTAAGAAAAGTAATAAATAGTACTTTACAAAAAATGGGAAATAATGTACTGCCTAAGGACACGTTTCCAAAGTCACGCACCGAGCGTGTGACGCCATACAGAGACGTAAGGATAATAGAAGCGGAGAGAAACACGGAGACAAGAAGTAGTGAGAGACAAGGTACAGAGACGTAAGCACAGAGAGACAAGGCACAAATATATTGAGAGAAGCAACTATGCGAGAGGTATGGATGTTAGCATCGGATATACATGGAGATGGAGAAACAAACAGCATTAAATGCCTGCTTTTTTATAGCAGGATAAATGTTCCTTGATGTAACGTTCCCAGATGAAATGGACAGACTTTCCCATACCCTGATAAACATTTGCTCGAGGTTCTGCTGTGTTTATAGTTGATTAAAAACGTCAGAAACTGGTTTACTCATATGAACCTTATGGCGGGACCCCGAATAAACGGAAGTCAAAATCGCAATTAATTTATTTATTTTTGGCGACTCCGTCTCACCGTGCACATAAACTTCGCGACCCACCTGGCGTGGATCATTCTGTTGTCATGTCGTCCAAGCGCAGCCGTAGTCATAAAAACTTCGAAACTTTGATTAGCGCATCGTGTAGAGCTCGTCCAGAGGAATAGATTGCCGTATTATTCGCCTTCAACTGACATAAAATGACGTCGCAACGCAGTTTATGCGAGAGTTGGGGGCTTATGGGACCCCGGGGTCCCGCTATAAGGTCCATATAACAACAACTTCAAATTGTAAGGTGCTAAACCACGGGCCTAACCTTCTTAAAGTGCCACATTTGGAAGAGGAGTATGAATTGCATACCGAATTGGGGAAAGAAAATGCTCAGGAGAGTGGATCGTTTAACCTTATCAACATTTCCAAAAGCATGATCAAATTATCCTCGAGTACATTAAAATGTTGATTCACCAAGAAAGAGCTTCATCAAAATTTTAGTACTTTAAAAATCATGTTAAGACTTCAGTCCACCTTCCCCCATGATCATTCCACTGTTGGATGAAGGCCTCTCCCAATCTATTGCAGCTTGTGAATGATGAAATTAACTAGAGGGAGAAATGCCAAAAACTAGCCTGTACAGTTGTATTGTTGGTTTATATTAATTAGGAAACAATTGGAAATTTACCAAAAATCTAAAGATCCCAGTTAATAGTAGTGCATAGGAAGATGATGATTGTTACCACAAGATATTATGAGAGGTTCTCATTAATATTCCAAAACAATGTCTTGTCATACAATCAGTGAAGAATTCTTGAAAGTAATATATTTTGTGCAGTGACAAATATGGCAGGAACTCAACAGTTCACAGTATTAAAATAAGTGTTAATTTGTAAAGTGATCATTTGTGCTATATGTAATAACAGCTGTCATGTCATGCTTTTTCATAACCAGGATTTGTTGGCCCATATACATATGTTTTAGTGTAACAGCTTAAAGCTATACGAGAGTTGAGTATATATAGCAACATCATGGAAACAATATATGAAGTTGTTTTTAAATATTCCTGTTTCAATTGAATCTCCTACAAACCTGTGCCTGTAAAAAAATTTCTTGAAGAAAATTGGCAAAATCCTAACAATCTAAATGTGAAGTTTAATGTTTACAAGTGTTCACCCGAATTATGCTGCACATTTTAAAATGTTATCACCTTCAAGCAAGTAATCTTATTGCTAGGCATAATTATTCTATCCTATTTTGGTTTTATAAAGCACCTTTCACCAAGGTGCTTGACAATGCTTACTGACTACGGTACAAAATAGCAAGATAAGGGATGGGGATTGGGTAGTGACTAGGGTGGAGGGAGCGAGATGGAGGCTGAGGCTCTGGCTGGAAAGGTGGTAGGTGTTGCTGGTAGGGGTGGCGAAAGAGGAAGGGTAAAGGCAAGAGAAAACAGATAGGACCTGAGGGCAGTGCAAAAAGTGGAAAGCGGATGTGGAGAGGGAGTTTGTTCCAGTGTAAGGGGGCAAGCCAGCAGAGAGGAGTGAAAGCGAGATTGGGCACAGGGTGGAGGGACAGCAAGAAGATAGGCAGCTTGTGACCGGAGCGGGTATGATGGGACATATGTAGTGACATCGAGGATGTCCACTGTATGGTGCCGGCCCGTGAGGGCCGTGGCGTGCAATGCACCATCATCGTGTGCACCCTGTAGGCGGGTGTAGTACCAGCCCTAGCGGGGCTTGGTGAGTACTGGGATAGCGCGGCCACCACGCATAGCGTGTAGTGCGGGCTCCCACCAGGGGGAGTGGGAGAGTGTCAGCCCAGAAGCAGGGTTGCCCCAGGCCATGGCACTCTGGTTGACCCCGTAGACACGTGATCCGGAGTATCCATAGAGAGGGCCCCAGGTGGGAGGGGCTAGGGGGTGATCACGTGTCCGGGGAGAGCTCCCGAGAGGGATCGAGAGGGAGCTAGAACGCTCGAGAAGGAGGGCGGGGCCAAGGGC